CCCAAACCCCATCATGGATGAAGGAGGGACTCATTAAGTTCCACCCCCTAGCTGAGGAGCTACTGGGAACCGATGGGTTCTGGGGGAGGGAGAGTCTGTTTTCTTCACGGATGTGGATCCCGAGAGGCTACCAATCTTCCAGCAGATGGTCCTACACCCAAATGGACTCAGTGGGGATTTTTTTTGTAAAAGGAACAGATGAAGTTAGAAGGGGAAAGTGGTAGTGGAGACAGGGCAGGACTTGGAAAGAAAGGGAGGTGGATTTGTACGTATTTATTTGTACAGAGGCATGTATGAAATTCTCAAAAAATAAAAAAGTGACTGTTTCTCAACACTTTTAGATAGTCTTTTAAATAAACCTATAAAAAGTAGATATTGGGTGGGGAGATAGTTCAGTTGGTAAAGTGCTTACTATGCAAGCATGAGGAACTGAGTTTGATTCCCAGAACCCATGTATAAAATTCAGGTGCAGTGGTTATGTACTTGTAATCCCAACACAGAAAAGCCAGCCTAGTGCTATTTGGCAAGCTCCAAGTCAGTGAAAGACCTTGTCTTAAAAAAAAAAAAAAGCCATGGTGGAAGGCACCTGAGGACCTAAGGTTTTTCTCTGCCCTCCAATTGCATGAGCATACATCTGCACACAGACATGCTTCCCACACATACATGATCATGCATACACACAAGAATAAATAATATCACTATCTCCGATGATGACAAAAAATAGGTAGAATACTGTTAATAAGAATAATTTTCCAAATTAAAAAATGAATTATAAACAAAATGAAATTAAAAGTAAATAGTTTTTATTAGGATTAGCTAAAACACTAATTTTAAAAATCTAGAATCAGATTACTTAGACACACAAGTTTATGTTGGGAAGGTGTTAAGGTGGGAAAAGAAATGCATTTTAATTAAAAAGTCAAAGAGTACAAAATATAGATGATATACTCTAAAGCAAACTTTAGTATTACAATTTAATGAACCAGTGAACATAAAAATGAGAGCAAAGATGTGGAGCTATCAGATTTTCCAGAAAATCTTTAGAGGCTCTAGTACTAGGAAGGGAATGAGAGTAATAGTTAAAGCTTAGGCTCTAGAATAGATTTTCCCTCCCTCCCTCCCTTCCTTCTTTGTTTTTTGAGACAGGGTCTCATTATGTGGTCCTAGCCTGCCTGGAACTTGCTATTTTAGACCAGGCTGGCTTCAAACTAACAGACATACTCTCCCAAGTACTGGAATTAAAGGTGCACATCACCAAGACCAGCAAGAATCAGAAAGACTTGGATTTAAGTATTACCTCTATCCCTTAATAGTTGTATGCCCCTAAAATACATATCATTAACTTTTCTAAGTCAAACTTGTCATATGTAAGAATCAGAATAACAGTGTCTATACATAGTTGCTAGTGATGATTAAATAATAGCATTTACTACTATCTGAAGGTATATTGTTAAATCCTGGGGCTTGACTCAGGTGCTTATAGAATCTACAACCAAGAATTAGGAATTATGGAAAATATAGTACATACTTATGTAATTTAAGCATAAAATTTAAGCTTTTAGTTCAATGACAGTAAATGTAGAAAATTTTTGTTTACTGAACTCAGAAATCTAGACGTTCTGATACTTTCTTTGTATACCACCATTGTGCTTCTTTCTCAAGTCTAGCTAGAAAAGAAAGTCATCACCTTATATCAAGAAACCTGATTTTCCTTATTATAACATGCAAAACAGTTGCTAATTTTGGCTATAAACACAAAATACACACATGCACAAAGTTTTGCTTTGTTTTGATGTATAGCTAGATATTTAGATAGCCTCAAAGTGTCTCCCCCATGAGATACTTACTAGTTTTGAAGAATAAAATGACAACTTTGAATGTGAGAGGCCTGGCAATTATTTCTATAGCCAAATAATCAGTTATTATAAGTTATAAGACAAATCAATAGTATGTGTCTTGATATTATGCACTAAAGATAACACATTAGTGCAGTATTTCTGCACTGGGGAATATTGGACAAAAACAAATTAAAGGACAATTTATAAAATAACTAGTCTTGGGGATGGAGAGATGACTCAGTGGATAAGAGCACTGACTGCTCTTGCAGAGGACCCGGGTTCAATTCCTAGCACCCACATGACAGATGGCTACAAACCGTCCTTAATTCCAGGTCTAGGGAATCCGATGCCTCTTCTGACCTCTGCGGCACTGCATGACATGGGTGCACTCACATACATGCAGGCAAAATACACATAAATTTTTTTAATTAAAAAAAATAACTGGTCTTAACTCTTTTTATAAAAAAATGTATCAATGTCCTGAAATACAAAGAAACACTCAGAAGCAATTTCAAAGAAAACTAGACACTAAAATTAAACCCAAGCATGATCTTGACATTTTTAATTCTTTTACAACATACTTTACAATTTGCAAACTCTGAATAGAATCTGTATGAGGTAGCAGTCAATATTATTTCTCATGTGTCCATCCAATTAACTCAGGACAGTTTCAGAAAGACCATGCCTCCCCCACTGCTCCATAGCATCATTTTTGTTATAAATCTAGTATCTAGACTTGTGGGGGTCTGGTTCCGTGTAAGTTTTCTCAAGAAGCAACTACTAATTAATTTCTCACCCCCCCCTCCTCCAGCTTTATTACAAAATGCAATCTCCATCTTTTCTTCTCCTGGGTTTGTTCTCTTTGAACACCATAGTAGATCTTGGGAGTGATCTTTCCATGTCAGTAAACAAAAAGCACCTTCATCGTTCTTTTCTTTCTTCTAAAATTTTAAGTCTGTTTAAATTTACTACTATGGAAAGACAAAGTAATAGGATATTTGATAGCTATATGGAAAAATAAAATGTAGTCTAATACCTACACCATATACTATGATAAAATCCAAACAGATTAAAAACCTTAATGTAAAAATTAAAACCATGGACGTACTAGAGGGAAGCATGGATACATACTTTATCATTAGAGTAGGAGAACACCAGTTTATGACCCAAAATCCAAAATTAAGAAAGGAAAATTAATAAATTAGTATTCTAAAAACTTCAACAAAAAATAAACCAAGTAAAAAGTCATTTGAGAATCTGTTGAAATAAATTTTTAACTTAAAACACAAAAGGCTAGTATCCATAATATACATGCATGTCAAAAAACAAAGCAGAAGAGTCCAACAATCCAATTTTTAGAAATGGTCAGCAAATTAGAAACTTCGCAATAAGGAATCCAAATGAATATAGGTAGAAGACAGGTGTATCTGAATTTTTTACTTTAGAAAATTTTTTTAATATTTTATTTTTATTGGTGTTTTTATTTTATGTGTAAGAGTGTACTGTCTGCATGTATGTAAGTACACACATGTCATGTAAAGTCCAAGGAGGTCAGAAGTAGGCATCGGATTCCCCTGGAACTGGAATTACAGTTTTTAGCCACCATGTGGGTACCCGGAATTGAACCCAGGTCCTCTGCAAGAATAGTCAGTGCTCTTAACCGCTGAGTCATCTCTCCAGCCCCAAAAATGTTTTATATAATAAAAATCACCAAAAGTCAATCTCCAGTCTCTAAATAGTCACAGAAAAAGATAAACTGATGAAATAATGACTCAAGAAAGTTATTTCAAGTTACTTAAAAACAGTTTTTTAACTATATATTCCTAGTTCACAATCCTCTGTAACTCCAATTCCAGGTGATCCAACACCCTCTTCTGGCCTCCTTAGGCATTCCACACACATGGTGCACTTACACTCATACACATAAATTAATTTAAAAAAAAAAAAAGAAAGAAAGAAAAAGATGGATAGCCAGGCATGGTGGTACACGCCTTTAATCCCAGCACTCGGGACACAGAGACAGGCGGATCTCTGTGAGTTTGAGGCCCAGTCTGGTCTATGTAGTGAGTTCCAGGCCAGCTGGGGCTACAGGGAGACCCTGTCTCAAAAAGACCAAAAAAAAAAAAAAAAGTAACAAAAAATCTATTCATCTGACATATTAGCTGTATTCTTTTTATAAAGAGCTATATAAACTGTTGACTCTGAAATATAGTTTGGCATGATGAATGTTTGAATCTTTCCCAGTCTACACATTTTGAAGGTAATGAGTAATGAGTTGATGCTTTAGCAACTCTCAATGACAACCAGTAAATTGCACTTATTTGTTTACTTTATGATCTCATAGTTATTTTTATATACTTGATGTGTTCAATTTTGGTCATTCTTTTCAATATAAATTGTTCCCTTTTAGGTTAGTGAGACTCCTTCCAGATTGACTTGATATGATTAACTAGTCTTTCACAATATTCTTGCTTTCTGGTACTGCTCATTTTGAACATTTTTCACTCTATACCCAGAATCAGCCATTTCTTCAGCATGTAATTCCTTTTGATAATATTTAGAAACCATGGTCTGCATCCTTGGAGGGGACTAACATAGTTACTGGGTTATTGTTTGTGGGCCATTTCAATCTGCCTGGCTATTTGTCTGTCTGCCTATATATCTATCTTAAGATTTACTTTCATTTTGTTTGTGTGTGTGTGTGTGTGTGTGTGTGTGTGTGTGCGCGCGCATTTGTGTGAATGTATGCTATGTGTGTATGGGTTACTATTTTGCGACACCTAATGAAATAATGGATTTAACAAGCATAATCAGGAGTTGTTAACCCATCAGATGAAAGACTAATGTGAAACTTCATAAGGAAGGAACAAAGGCTAGATGAACCCATTGATCAATTCTGAAAATAAAAGGATAGTCAGCCCTTATGTACCTCAATTTGAATACTTCATCTGCATAAAAACCAATAGGGTTCTTTAAAAAGATTTTTTCATGTGATAGCTATTTTTGTGTAATTTTTACAGAGTATAATGGTAATTCATTCTTAGATATTTCATGTTTCATAAGGAAAATGTACTCATGGAAATTTCAATCTCATTTTTAAATTTAACAACTATTTATTTCAAAAAGGATTTTAACTGATTTTAATCTTTCAATAATACTTACTGTGAATTTATCTCTTCTACTACCTCAGTGAGTTTTTTCCAGGGATTATACTCAGAGTCAATCGTATAAAGCCTCATGTGCAAGGCTAATACATGGAACAGCTGATCTGAATAAATTGGGGGAAAAAAAGTAATTAGAAAGTTCACATAATTCTTCAACAACAAAATGTTTTCAAATGTTCTAGTTACTTAAGGAAACCCAACTCCCTTTCTGGATAATTCATTATAATTCATCAAGTTTAAGATGAAATTAATTCTCTTTTATAGGGCTCTAAAAATATGTCTCCAAATGACTTCTAGTAGAATCACTTTGCCTCTATAAGATTTCAAAAGTGAAAAAAGCAGAAATTTTCTGAAATTTCACCCTATTCAATACTTACTCAAACAAGATCTTCTGCCAGCTGCGCTTGCACCACCTGAGCATAGACTACCTCCTCGATGAATCAATTCAAGTTCTAAATTTGTTCTGTAAGCAAAGCGTTAAACACAGCTCAGTCATTAGGCTAGGGAGATTTTGCTTTATTGACATGCTTCAATCAACCCAAACAATAAAATTCTTCAACTTTATTATTTGCAAAAGCATAGTTTATGTAATAATCATGGTTTTCTGATATTTAGAAATAAAAAGGAACAATTTATTCATTGTGTATTTTCAAAGTTATACCTTCAAAAAAATTATACACATAAATATGCAATTATTACAAAGTCTCAATCTTGGCAAATACTAAAACCTGGGCTTTAACAAGAACAAAACCCTCAACATAGTTCATAAACCTGTATATAAATTTGATGAAAAAAAATGTGTACTCCCAACTATCAGCCACTGGATAGATAATTACTGCCATAAAAAACACAAGACATACCAATTTTTCTATCACAGAAATAATTGACATTCATTGGAGCTTAGATGGTTATCTGGAAGTCAATATTAAAAAATGAAAGCACCAAAACTGAAGTCACTATGATCAACACATAACTAACAGCAGTCTCTTTTATGGACTTCTACAAGTACAATTTTATTAAAACACAGTATGTAACTATTGATATTGCAAAACAAAAGTGTTGCTCATAAACTTCTGAATTTACAAGGCATCTAGCAGTTTACAAAACACCAATAATTATTAAAACGATGCTTCAAAAGGCAAACTTATGCAGCACCTAAATATTTACTCAAAAAGAGTCACAGTAAAGGAATTTTACCAAAATAAAAAAATTAAATTCTGACATAACTTAAAACTGTGTTGTAGTTCAATAGTATTTATCAACTTAAACAGATCTTTATTTTTCACAAACAACACTGAATTAACTAGTTTATAACCAAGATATGGTAATACTGAGATATCCAGTTTTCCCATACCACCTCCCTTTAAAAAAGAAAGGCGAAGTTTCAAGCTTATTCTTTGCAAGCTAATTCAAGGAAGACTATGTCTGATTTTATTTTAAAACAGAACATTTGAACTAGTTTTGGTTGAACAGTGTTTGAAATGAGAGTTTCATACATTTGCTTGTAAATACAAACTTAGAAATATTAATATTCCTGAATCTGTACATTTGCCACCCATTTCTAAAGGAATGCTTTCATCCTCTTCTTAGGGTGGGGGAAGCAATTTAACGCTGATAATGTTCCTGCTCAGAACTCCATCTGGCTGCTGCTGATAAGGGCATCAGTGTGACAAGGGAATTTTCCACCCTTCAGGTGCTTTGCAATGCTCACTGAACTTCTAAAAACCTACCAGCAAGGAAGCAGGGACAAGGATTTCATATTAGTGGACAGAAAGCGAGCGCGGAGACCACCATGTGTTCCTTCATCAAGGGAATATAAATGAGATCAATACATTTTGTTTTCACATATCTTCTGTTGCCTAATCTGTAGAAAAAAATTAATGGCTATATTCTCTTATAAAAACTATGATTTCCTAGATAGTACTTTTTAAAGCACTAACCCAAAACATGAACAAATCTTACAAATGAATGTCAGAACCAGAATGTCAACTCTTTTTCACTATATTTGTAAAATAGTCACTAAAATTCTAAGAACAATTCTGTTTATCCAATCACCAAGACATGATTTAAAAGATGACAAATATGTTACTAGAAATTTAATTTTACAGGATATTAAAAATAAAACTATTAAATCTGACTTACTGTTTCAAATTATGGTTGGAAAATCTCCTATGTAATATTTCTAGTCCATTAAAAAAATCTACCTACACAGAGTGAATGGCTAATAATAATCTCAAATTTTTTAAAAACAAATCAAAGTCAGAGACCTTAACCATCAATATTTCCTTGCTTTATTTACATCAAAACTGGCCCTTTAAGACTTACTAGAGTAAGGTATACACAGATAGATCATTTGTCCCATGTCTATCACTCCTCACTGTTGAAAATTACAATACTCTCCTTCCTGAATGGATGATGCAAAATTAAATACATCCTGGGAATGAATTTTCTGTGCTTTTTATCCTTGGAGAAAAGTATATTTCATTTTCTAAAACAAATATATCCAAATTAATTTGGCAGAGAGAAAAAACGTCTACATTTGAAAGAATGACAAGACTGCTGAAAACCTATCACAATGGCCACTTAGATACTACATACATCAAAAAAAAAAAAAAAAAAGCCAAAACTTCTAACTGCATACCACCAGCTCCTTTTTCCATGACCATTCTGTATTCCCTTTATACCCCATTTTTACCATTATTTTAGAGCAATAATTTGAAAAACAAATGTGCACACATATATCCCCTCCCCACTCCACCCCCAGCCGCATAGACCATCAATCCTATACTGGTACAGCAGAGATGGCAAAGGCTCTAGAAAAAGATATAGATCTTTGAGGCCGGAATCCACCATTTTGCTGGTTTGAGCAACACATTTTCCTGTGGGGGTGGGGAATAGGGGGGTTGGGGGATGGAAAAGATATTTTCATCTATATGTAGCCATCCATACATTATATAGAAGACACAGCTCTTCCAGGAAGCCCTCTTGAGACAAGAAATAAACATCTACATGTTTTATGCTTCAATTTTTTTATCTTTCATTTTGAAGTTCTACAGCATTTTACCTACATGACATTTTATAAAGCACATTATATTCTGATTTATATAGAATGTTTATTAGTTTGGGGTCTCCAATTAAATTGCAAATTCTTAGAAAGCAGGGACCATGTAACAGTGTCTAAACCCCCAATGATACCTAGGCAACATGCTAAAAAAAAATTTCATGGTGAGGCTGGTGTGGCTTATCTTAGTAGTTAACTTGACATACCTGTTAAGAGGGAACCTCAATAGAGGAATTTCCACCTCAAATTGGCCTGTGGCATGTAAATTTCTTGATTGCTAACTGATATAGGAGGACTCAGTCCACTGTGGACAGTACCATCCCTAGGCAGATGAGCTTAGGCAGTATAAAAAAGGTAGTTGACCAAGAACTTGAGATAGTAAGCAGTCTTTTGCCATGGTTTCTACTTCATTTCCTTCCTCCAGGTTCCTCCTGCCTTGAGTTCTTCCCCTGGCTTCCCTTAATGATAGACTGCAACCTATAAGCTAAAATAAATCCTTTTCTTCCCCAAGTTGCTTTTAGTCAGAAAGTTTTATCACAGCAACAGCAAAGCAAACGACAACAGCTGGGCAGAAAACTCAGTGGGTAAAGTGCTAATCCCAGCACTCAGGGAGAAAGCTGGCTAGCCAGAGTAGCCAAACCAGTAAGCTCCAGGTTTAGTGACATACTGCCTCAATATACAAGGTGAAGAATGATAGAGGAAAACACCTGACATCAACTTCAGGCCTATGCACACACATGTGCACACACACAAATTCATGAAACTAATAGCTTCTCTATTTTGATTTGTAGCCCATTATAAGATTTTCTTTAGTCCCTGTACTTTATCTTCTTTTGCTGATCCTTATATTCTTTAAGCACAACAGCAACAAATGAGAAAAAATGGAGCTGGGCCTGGTGGTGCGCACTTTTAATCCCAGCACTCTGGGAGGTAGAGGCAGGGAGATCTCCATGAGTTCAAAGCCAGCCTGGTCTACAGAGTGAGTTCCAAGCCAGCTGGAGATACAGGGAGACACTGTCTCAAAAAGAAGAGGGGAGAGAGGAGAGACAGAGGAGGTGGGGGGGGTTAGAAAAAAGTTTTACTTTAAAAGGGGATTTATTAAAAGGAGGGAGGGCTGGAGAGATGGCTCGGTTGTTATGAGCACTAGCTATTCTTGCAGAGGACATGGGTTCAGTTCCCAGCACTCACATAGCAGCTAACAACCATCCCTAACTTCAGTTCCAGGGGATCCAATGCCCTCTTCTGACCTCCAGGGCATTGCACAACATGAGTGTACATACATGCAGGCAATACACTCATGCACATAAAATAAAAATAATAAATAAAAGATTGAAAAAAAGAGAAAAAAAGGATTCATAATTTGGAGCTGGGCATGGTGGCTCATGCCTGAGGTACCAGTGACTCGAGAAGTTGATATGGAAGGACTGCTTAAGTTCACAAGTTTGAAGCCAGCATGTGCAGTACAGAAAGACTCTACTTCAAAAAAAAAAAAAAAGTCTCATAATTTTGCATCTTAGGAAGTATTCCTTTCATCTTCAACATAATTCATTTTAAAAGCCTAGATTTATAGTACAGTATATGAATATCAATATATTCATTCTCCTGAATACCAACCCATTCCTGATTGAGATATACCTGTTCATCTATATCTCTGAAACTCCTGTTCCATCTTTCTACCATTTCCATTTTTCTCACAATACACACACCTAGAACTATATACTAGTACCTCTAAATTATTCATAATTTAGATCCAAAACCCTTGGGAAAAAAATCAGTTCCTGAAAGTCATGTCATTCATTTTGTCAGTGATGAAATAATGAACTTGTACTGAAGGAAAGCCTTCTTCCCCAGCATAATCTTTCCATAATCCATTTGTAGTATAACATTTTCAGCAGAATGAAAGTTTTAGAAATGGGTTAAAACTTGAATAAAGTAACATGGTTAATTTTATTCTAACAAGTTCTCCTCTGTTGGCTTCAGAAAATCTTCCAAAGCTTCCCCAAGAAAATTAAATTTAAAACAAAAACTTATGCTCTGTCCTTCAAAATAATGAGCTCTCTAGCAGTCACTGAGGATAGTCTCTTCCTAAATACTGAAAATTTTAAGCAGAAGAACAGAAAAAATTACTTACACAGTCAGGAGAAATTCAACTCACAAGCTAGCATTGTGTCCTATTCAAATTACCAATGTCAAGTATAAAAATATTTGCAAGATCTAAAAACCTTCACAATTAATTCAAAAATTAAATAATTAAAACTAAGTACACTGCTTAATATTTTATTTAAATCCTGCTATGTATTTTAGTGCCCACCTTTTAGGAAAAATATTTCTGCAATTCTAAGTATGTACAAAATGAACTGCATGTTAGACTAAGACAAAGACCTAGTATTGCATCCTGACATTGTGGTCCTACTCAATAAACTACAGCATACCTTTCCCCTTCAATTCATGTTTTAATTTTTAAATCACTTTGGTTTCTTTGTTTTGTTTTGTTTCTCTGCAATTATTAAATAAAGTTAGTCAGGGCACTGCAACCACTTTATGAACTCTGCAAAGTTCTGTGTGATTCTAATCAAACAATCACTATCTTATGGTTTCAGTTTGTCATTAGGGTTCAGAGAAGGATGGGAATGGTAGTACGTTTTTCTTGTTTTTCTACCTAAATCATTAGTGAAGCATTTGACATCTGTCTCTGTTTCTCTATAAACAGAACACCACAATGTGCTAGTCCAAAGAGTCTCTCCTTGACATCACAAACCTTTTTTTCATATTATTTATATTTCAAAGCAAGAAACAAGGATCTAAAATTTCAGCCAAATTATACCTAAATCAAATTGTTTATCATACTACAGGAAAATTCCATGTATTCATCATGTCCATTCAATCAGGATCATCCAAGAAAGCCCATTCTGGTGAAATGGAAGGGATAAATATATGTGTGACATAAGTGTGTGTGTGTGTGTGTGTGTGTGTGTGTGTGTATGTAATAAGTTAATCTACATTTGATCCAATCTTTTATAATTAATGATTGCATAATGTGCAGAAGTTGTATAGTATTGGAGCCTTAGTGAAGTTAAATTATTTTTAAAAATTTTTATGTGTATGAGCGTACTGCCTGAATGTGCCTAAGTGGGCTCGTGTTGTGCAGTACCAGCAGAGGAGAGAAGAGGGTGTCAGATCCCCTGGAACCGGAGTTATGGACAGTTGTTAGCCTCCATCTGGGTGCTGGGATTCAAACCTAAGTCTTCTGCAAGAACAGCCAGTGCTCTTAACTGCTGAGCCATCTCTCCAGCCCCCAAGGTGTGTGTGTGTGTGTGTGTGTGTGTGTGTGTGTATGTAATAAGTTAATCTACATTTGATCCAATCTTTTATAATTAATGATTGCATAATGTGCAGAAGTTGTATAGTATTGGAGCCTTAGTGAAGTTAAATTATTTTTAAAAATTTTTATGTGTATGAGCGTACTGCCTGAATGTGCCTAAGTGGGCTCGTGTTGTGCAGTACCAGCAGAGGAGAGAAGAGGGTGTCAGATCCCCTGGAACCGGAGTTATGGACAGTTGTTAGCCTCCATCTGGGTGCTGGGATTCAAACCTAAGTCTTCTGCAAGAACAGCCAGTGCTCTTAACTGCTGAGCCATCTCTCCAGCCCCCAAGTTAAATTATTTTGAATTTAGTTTTTAAAGTATATTTAATTATAAGTATGTAATAATTGGTAACTCTCCAGAAGCAAAACAATTATATCTCCCCTCAAAGCATTCTGGATAAATAACAACCTGGAAATATAATTGGAAAATTATTGTCTAATCATTAGATCCTTTTATATCAAACTGGGTTCAATATTTTCATTTTCAGACCAAAGACTAATGTTCCTTAACTTAAGCTCTAACTTGTTTGTTGCAATTTTTCTACAGCTGGTTCCATTTTCCTGAAAATATGGGTTACATATACTCTTTCAGCTACTCTTCTGTTACACTCTTCTATGGGAGTGGGGCAAAGAGAAGAGCAAGCATAATACAACCATGAAAGCGGAACACAAGAGAGAGGAAAAAAATGAGTAACTGAAAAATCACTAAACCTTGACTCAAATGATCAAATGATCTAGTCCTACTCTGGCAGTAATTTGTTGTAAGCTTCAAGTCACATCATCGCTCTAAATCTTACTACTTACAATACTACTTGAAGAAAGTAAGAAGTGTGCTTCCAAAGATATCCAGGCATCTACTGTATCACTTTGGCAAAATGTGTTTACAAGTCCCTAACTGTGTCTGCTTCTTCCTTGTCCATTTTTTTATAGCTCTCTATTTTTATAAGTTCTCTAAAATTCCTATCTACTTTTGCTTTTTAGATGCTGAACAAGTACTCAGTCAATTATACTAGCCCTTCCTAATCAGAAACATGAGAAATGACTTCTAACTGCTCTCTTCAGCCTCCTACGCAAAACATGTGGAGGCTTACATGTCTGACCTCTTGCTTTCCCTTCTTTATCTGGTTAGCTAAACTACCTGTCATTTCCTAAAATATTACTTGTTCTTTCACTAGGTTAAAGCAAACAAAGAAGATAACTTCTACTCTTGCTCTCTTATTTTTCTATAAACTGAAAGAATTTAACATTATGTTTTAGTTCTCGGTATTAGTAATTCTTGACAGAACTTCATCATACATAGTATCTATGTATAATATGTAATATATACATATATTACATGCTTTGAGATACAAATCTGTCCAAAAGAATTAATAACATACTTTCCCCTATGTTTTACAAAGTCCAATAGCAGCCAATTATACCTCAAAATAATTTTCAAACCAGAAAATAACCTCTTGGAAGTTATAAAACTACCCATAATTTCAACCCAT